TGTGATCAGAGGAGACACTTTCTGTAGAAAGGACACTCTAAGTACATAGGGAGGACTTAATAACAAAATGGACTCTGATTTTAAGGAAAATATGCTAAAATAGCTATGTATTTGGTTCCCTTCCTTCTCTGTGTAGATAGGCTCAGACAAAACTACTTTGCTTTATTGGTGTCAAATACGGATTTAACTTCAGGACAGAGACCAGCAAACTAAGCCACAGGTCTGAAGTCCAAATCTGATCTGCCATCTGTTTTTTGTAAATAAAGTTTTATTGGAACATTAGCCATGCTCATTGATTTACACATTGTCTGTGACTGCCTTTGTGTTACAACAACAGCATCAAGTAGTCATGACAGGGATTGTCTGGCCTGCAAAACCTAAAGTATTTACTGTCTGGCCTTGATAGGAAAAGGTTTATGGACAGACCTCTGTTCTATTTAAGAGGCTGAGAGGGAGGAAACTATGATAAATTTCCTTGTGGATCATCATGAAGCCACTGAAAGTGATCTTTATGAAGATCAAAAAAATATATGAAAATACCTAATGAAAATATTTTAAATTAAATAAGCAAAATTATGTATTATAAATGGAAAGTCATGGGCCCTTACCCTACTCCCGTCATACCACCTAGAGGTAACCTTTTAAAGATGGGCCATGTACCGCCCAACTTTATTTTTAAAAACATGCTTAAAAAAATAAGTTTCTCCATGCTGTCCTGCAGCATAGTGACTATTTTTCAAGGGTTAGCATTTACCATTGTTTGTAATTAATTGCAGGCAGTACAGACCCCAGAAGGGAGGCATTTGTGTCGCCAACCATACCTCTCCGATAGATGTTTTAATCTTGACAACGGATGGATGCTATGCAATGGTAAGAGCAGCTTGTTGATACTGCAATAGTTGCATGTTTTATGGATGGCTCAAACTTTTAATTTATCTTGGCACAAATTGGAAAGTTAGTTTAATGTCAGAAATTTGGCTGGGTTTACTGTAGCCATGTATATATTGTATGGCACATAGTATGTTGTCCTTACATGTCATATACTTACTTATATGAGAAACATGTAGCATAAGAAAAGGAAATAGTGCGGTCGGATCCCGGCAGCCGTGGCAGAACCTCCTCTTCTCTGCTTCTCCTTGCCATCACTCTTTTGCTTCTGGAAACATGGCCTCTGGTGTGGCTGTCCCTGGTGGCATCATTAAGGTGTTCAATGACATGGAGGTGTGCAAGTCTTCAACGCCAGAGGAGGTGAAGAGGCGCAAGGAGGCAGTGCTCTCCTGCCTGAGTGAGGGCGAGAAGAAATCATCCTAGAGGAGGGCAAGGAGATCCTGGTAGGTGATGTGGGCCAGACTGTGGGTGATCCCTACGCCACCTTTGTCAAGATGCTTCCAGACAAGGACTGCCGCTATGCCCTCTATGATGCAACCTATGAGACCAAGGAGGGCAAGAAGGAGGACCTAGTGTTTGGTTTTTGGGCTCCTGAGTGGGCACCCTTTAAGAGCAAAATGATTTATGCCAGCTCCAAGGACGCCATCAAGAAGAAGCTGACAGGGATCACGCATGAATTACAAGCAAACTGCTACGAGGAGGTCAAGGACCGCTGCACTCTGGCTGAGAAGCTGGGGGGCAGTGCTGTCATCTCCTGGAGGGGAAGCCTTTGTGAGTTCCCTCCTGCCCCCTGCCTGGAGCATCTGGCAGGCCCAGACCTGCCCTGGGGGTTGCAGGCTGCCCCCTTCCTGCCAGACCGGAGGGGCTGGGGGGATCCCAGCAGGGGGAGGGCAATCCTTTTACCCCAGTTGCCAAACAGCCCCCCCACCCCTGGATTTTCCTCCTCCCTCCGTCCCTGATGGTTCTGGCCTTCCCAAACTGCTTTTGATCTTCTGATTCTTTTTGGGTTGAAGCAGACCACGTTCCCCCCGGAACCCCAGTTGAGGGGAGCCTGTACTTTTTTTAACAACACCCCTAACACCTCACCTGTTCCATCCCTTCCCATGCTGCCAACTTCTAACTGCAATGGTGACTCTGTGCTTGTCTGTTTAGTTCTGTGTATAAATGGAGTGTTGTGGAGATGACCCCTCCCTTTTCCCCTGGTCTCTGCCGCTCATGGAAGCAGGACCAGTAAGGGACCTTCGATTAACAAAACAAAACAAAACAAAACACACACACTCACACACAAAGAAAAAAGAAAAGGAAATAGCCATTGTATTTATGGCAGTAAAAAAACTAACTTACTGAAATGAAATGTGTACACACTTGATCTCAAAGGACTTTGTAAAGTTCTGTTTTTTTTTTTTTTTTTGGTAAAATCCCTGCCAATGTTTAACAATGTTTTGCAAATGACATTCTTCCTCCTTAGAGTTGTACAAATCCCCTGGCCAGCCAATTAGTTCTCTCTTCCTTCAGGGAGTTGTGTGCAATTAAAACAAATCTAGCTCTTTAATGAGGATCTAGCAAGAAAGGCAAATATTTACATGATGTCGTCTCTCTCGGTTCTTGCGCACAACCTCAAAGAAAAGAGAATCCAACAACAAAGTCCAAAGCCCACAGTGAAACCTAACAACTCAATGCCTTTGAGTGG